AGAGAGAGAGAGAGACCCTTACAAACACTCATGAGTGAATTTCTGTAGTATTTACTCATAGCTCATCACCATCTAAAGTGCATCATAAGGCTATGATTATCCAATGGTATTTGAATTTTAATGCTTTTTTTACAAGTCCAATTTATCTGAAATTTGGGGCATGTGTACATCTAACCACCTTGTACAAAAATAAAATATATAAAAAATAATTATCAACAAGTAAAATTACAAAAAATACCCCTGAAATATTGGGGGTGTAATTCGGTCTTTTTTATTATTTGAACAAATTGTTTATATTTTATTTAGGTGCACCTCACTGGTGCACACACCCATAAAAATCAAGGTCAATCCGCTTTAAAAAAAATTATGAAAATTCAAGTACTATTAGAGAATCGTGACTGTTTGATGGACTTTGGACGGTAATAAGTCATGAGTGAAATACTATAGAAGTTTAGTCATGAGTGTTTAAGTGTTTTTCATATATATATATATATATATATATATATATATATATGTATGTATATTATTAGTTTTGTTCACCCATTCAGTGGAAAGGTAGATATATAATCTTATTCAATTTTTTATTTTTAAGTGTATGACATCTGCCAGTTGACCGCATGAAGGAATGTGCATGTCATTTGAACTTCATAACATGCTTCTCACAGGAAAGGTTATGATAGACATAGTTCTTCTAGATTGCCTTCTTTTATGTGAATGAGAATCTGTTATGGATTTTATGTGAATTGGAATCTGTTATGTAATCTTTTGCTGTTTTTCCAACCTAGATTATTTTGGGATTAAAGGAGCTGTAACTGTTATGTATTGGCCATAGGGCTGTCAGCATTATGAGTCTGCTAAGCCTTGGAAGTTGCCAAAAGTACTAAAGTTTTAATGAATTTTCGCTTCTTAGATGCACACACCCAATTTGTAATTCTCATAGAGGAAAACATTATATGCCCAGGGGCCCATTTCAACTTTGCAACTTAGTAACAAAGTGGTCAGTTGTATCATTGCCTACCATCCTTGCACAATTTCAAGCCAAAAGACTTGTTTCATTCCAAGTGCTCTGGGTTTATGAAATTTAGATGCTGGCCAATACTAATAAGCCATACTTGGCTGTCTTTCTCTGAAAACCTTGTGAATTACCATTTGGGTTTATTGACATCTGAGTTTTAGTATTGCGTGCATCACCACAGTAAGTCATTCAAGTGAAATGCCCATGATGGGTTTATTAATATGCAGGTTGTTTCACTCTATCTGACTGTGGGACCAAACTGAGGAGATTTGAACTCTCATGCCGAATGAATTGGATTGTAAAGTTTGTATACTTAATAGAAGTTAACATTCTCCAAAAAAAAACATGCAGGTTGTATGAACACATGAAATCATAGATGCCCTCTTATAAGTAGTGTGTTGATTATTGTACCAAGCTCTGTGTGAACTATATCCCATTATGCCTGTGATTTCTATACTGTGAATTTGTTAATGGTTCTGAAAGTGGACAGGAAGATGATCGAGTTGGAGGTCTGGACGTGAGAAACTATAAATAATTGTTGATACATCAGCATAGAAGTTGATTAACCCAATTTCAGATGAAAGTATGAATCCTCAACTCTTCAAAATTTCATTTCGGATTTTAGTTTCCTCGTGCTGGCTGCCACAAATATTCTCATGCTATTTGTTTTTTCATGGTCCAAAATGTGTGGTTTAAAAATATGACACAAGAACTATAGTTCTTTAGGCAGCATTCTCTTCTTCTTGTCTTGGGTATATGCAGTAATTATCTAATAATTCTTAGTCCATTCCATTCCAAGTTATTTATTTTTGGAAATTTACAACAATTTGTTGTACCTGTTAAGATTCGAGAAAGTCCAATTGGCTCATCACCCAATGAGATGATGCACCATGGATGGAGAGCGGAACCTGCAGGTGGCATCATGTCATGTTCTGGTGTACCTATGTCTCCATCATTATTTATTTGATTAGATGGTGATGACCCTCTTCCCTAAAAACCAGTTGGTTTTGTGAAATTGGATACATTGTTCTTAGAAGGCTTGGTTTCATAGGAATGTTCTTCTTTTCTTAAGGGAATTAGGGATTGATGGAATGAATTTGTTTTTGCTGTCATGGTTCCGCCTTCATCGTGTACTGCAACTTAGGTGTTGGTAGGAAATTTGTTTGCTTCCAATCTTGTTTCAAAACTTTTATAACTGCAAATCTAAATTTGTGGAACTGCATATGTTATACATCTCTTCCTATTATGTGTTGTAATCTCACTTAATATACATCTTACCCCTATTTCTGTGTGTTTCTCCCACTATTTCCACTTTTCCTGTGGATTCCTTGCAATTGTCCCATGTTTCCCCTTCATTTATTGTGGTAATATGTTTCTCTTGTGCTTATATTGATTTCTGAAGCTCTTTCTTTTTCCTTTTCCTTTGGTTGCCTTTTATGTTTTGTATTTCCCATGTATTCATCAAGATACTTATTCTTCCGAATAGTTCCCCTTCTTCTCGGGGTTATGCATTTCCCTCGCGCTTGCGATTCTGGGAGCACCTCCTTTGTTTTCCTTTTTTCTCCCCTTACCCTATATGTGTTTTGCTTCCCCTTGTATTTGTGATAATTTATTCCACCAAATATTTCCCCGTCTCCAAATATGCCCTTTGTGCAACTAATTTTTCACTGTTTTTTGCATGCACTTCCCCTAATGCATGTAATTTGGCTTGACTGTGGTACCTGAGAGGTAGTTAAGATTGCAGACCTTTGAGTTCCTTGAGCTTTCAGCCACTGATCTTAGGTTTTATACCATGTGAAAACAATTGTATTGACATGGAACTCAAGTAGTGATGAATAAAGGAGTATGAAGGTTACTGTGATGCCTTGATTTCTGTAGCTCCAACTCTTCTCTCTCTCGCTCTCACTCACTCAATAGTGAGACTGAGAGAGGAGTGGGCACTGTAGCTTCTCCTGTCTTCCCCTCCATTTTACCTGCAACTCCCCAACAACAACCATATAATCAGCCCTTTGCCCCTCAACATTCCCCTAGCAAACTAACTCCCAAACAACAACCATAAATAAGCCCTTGGACCCTGTGCAGTCATCTAACAAACTCTCCCTCACACCTGATTTCGTCCTTCCTCTGTTACATGACCATAATCCACACCAAATATGTTGCGTGAGGCTGGTATTCTATCAGAAAATCTTGCCTGAACCAATTCCTATCTCATCTGCAGAGCTATCTTCTTCCCAAATATCATAACCCTTTTCCTCCTCTCCTCTCTGCTCTGCCGACCAACAGCCCTCTTTCGATGGATATCCTATCATTATACCCAGGAAGAACATCAGCTTAGAAAGAGAGGAACTTCTGCAGTGCTCCCTGGTTGGTTTCTTCAAGCCACAGAGACATGAAATAGAAGGTATTACCTTGTGGGCATGAAATAATACGCCACAATGGAGTTGCAGAGTTGTGGAAGGTGCGCGACAATGTTTCTCTCTGTTCCTCTCCATTATCTTGCATTGGAAACCCTCAGGTTAAATGGGGCAACTTTAAAAGGGGTGAAAGTCAGTTTGTACACCATGTTACTTATTGTTCCTTCTTAAG